AGTCGTATGCAAATCGGTCAAAAACCAAAATAATGAAAATTTAATAACCTTTCTATTTGATTTTAACAATTTTTTGCGTAGGACTACCCATTTCCGACTTATATTGCGAGGAAATATTTATTCTCACAATTTCCAAAAGTCAAAATTTCATTTAAACTGTAATATTTCCAGAAATATTAGTCGCGCGGTATAACATAAATAATGCATTTTGTAGGTAATTTAATTATCTTTCACTTTCATTGTATGCATTTTTTACTTTCGGACAGCCAGAACTGAGATATTTTGAAAAAAACACTCGAAGAAACAGCTCTTTCCTCATTTGCCCAATGCTTCAAAAAATTCTATTTTGGGAACTAATGGTCGTACAAAGTTCTACAAAAAACCAAATTGTGAGGAATTTTATCAGCTACATTTTCGCTCTGAATGTTTTTTTTCGTGAAACTAATAATTTCCGAGTTATTTGCAAAAAACCCATTTTTGTACTCTTTTTTTCAAGATGGTGCAGCCGGCTCACGCTCTATGTATGGGGACTTTTAGTATGTTTAAAAGAACACTAAAATGAACCTGTATACCAATTTCCAGCTTGCCGGGAATTTTTTCATCCAAAAATCTTAATTTGACTGGGCTAAAACAGATTGAAATCAAACTGCAAGTAAATTATTCATTATTATCTAAAGCCTTTAATGTTCAGCATCAACTCGTTATCTGTTATTAGTTTAGAAAAATTAACAATTCGTCACCTTATTCCTTTTTCTCTTACATAATATATATACTATGTGTATTATAGGTACAACTAATAATAAAAGTTTTGATCTTTTTAATTCTAACAATAATATTAATTAATAGTAATAGAAAGCATAAATACAGAGTATTCTAAAAGTTAAATATGTAGTATAACAGCATTTTCTCCAATTTCTCTGAAATTTTCAAATTTTAAACAAATTTGTCGCTTATTATGTAATTAATACACTTAAAATATTACAATGTCGGCCAGTAAGGAAATGATAATTGAAATAATAATTTATGGATATATATTTATGGATATATATTTATGGATATACATTCATGGATATTATACATTCATGGATATACATTAATGGATATATACAGCTTTTGAATACTATGTATTTATCTTTTTTACTATTCTCTGCTTTATTAACAAAGATTATGATTTTAAAATATATATTTATGTGGAACATAATATGATCTAATCAGTAAACTATACACTAAACTGGAATGTGTGTGTGTGTATATGTGTGAACTCGGCTCACTTCACTCTGGAAGAAAACGGGACGAGCGAGAGGGAGGGAAAATAGCGGCCAACCCTCCTTTTCTGTTACTATACTTTTCGTGAAGAATGGAAAATCATTGACCAATCAAAAATTCGCTAAACAAAGACAGAAATAAGAAATGGCCTCAAAGCAACCTATTTTTTTTCTTGTGGCCCGGGCGCTAGTATAGGAGTTCACATTCCATCATAGTATATATTTCACTGGATCTAATTAAAATAAGAAACAAAATATTATATATATCTGTAAATTATCATTTCTTATTTACCGACATCGTGATATTTTAAGTATTAATAAAAAAAGGGAAACATGAGCGACGATTTTCTTTCATAAAATCTTTTTTATGATTTAAAACCCAGATAGCACAGCTGATCTTTATGAATTCAAAAAGATCCGAATCTGATCTTTATGAGTTCATAAAGATCAGCTGTGCTATCTGAGAAATATACAAAATTTGGAAATTTCAAAGAAATTGGGAGAGAGGCCGTTATACTCAATATTTATCAAAAGTATTAATAAAATAATAACTTTTTATTCCTCACGTATCTTTTAAATGAATTCTACACAATTAAAGACAAATTATTTTTCGAAGAAGAAGACAAAACTATATATTTCCTTCTATTCCTATTTTCGAAATTACTCGATAAAATCAAACAAGGAAAAACGCCGTAAACGGTCAGGACTGGATCTTGCTTGTCCGAATAATATATATTAATTCTTGAGTGACTTTCTACGTACAATTCTTTTTGTCAATGGCAGACCACGCGCCGTTACCAACGGTCATAACGCAGTCTCAACCAAAGCCAGAACGATACAATCACACAATTAAATTGATATCAATTGATGTCAATCTGCCATTGACAAAAAGAATTGTACGTAGAAAGTCACTCAAGAATTAGTATATATTATTCGGACAAGCAAGATCCAGTCCTGACCGTTTACGGCGTTTTTCCTTGTTTGATTGTATCTTACACGGCCGTATAATCTCATACTTATTGTTTACTCGATAAAATTTTGTAACAAAAAGTTTATTGTTTTATATAAGCTACGTTTTAATATTCATTGCATATTGAAAGTATAAGTAACAATAATTATAGATTTTCAGTACAAACAGTAAATATTAAGACACAGTTATACTGGACCTTGTATTTTTATATTACACATATTTAAGCAATTGTAAATAATAATTATTACTATTTTTAATTATTACTATCTTAATTACTATTTTTGAATTATATTATAGTATTATTGCGTTACATTCAGACAGCTAAAAAATTTTTATGCAGTACAGCATAAGTAATGAATATTAAAACGCAGCCTATATGAAGTAATTAAACTTTCTATTCTTCATTAAATAAAGCTTTTCATGAGGTGATTTAATATTCATTGGAGAAATCTACAAACTTTTACTTGCTTTGCACTACGCGAGAATTTTTTAGCTGTTTGAATGTAATATAATAACACTATAATATAATGCAATAATAATAATCCATTATCTATATTTGCTTAAATATGTAATATAAAGATACAAGGTCACATATAACTGTGTCTTGATATTCACTGTCCATACTAAAAATATACAGTTACTATTACGTATACTTTAGATTTTCAGTACAAGCAATGAATATTGAAACGTAACTTATATGAAGCAATTAAACTTTTTATTACTCACTTACCTATTAAACAAAGCTTTTCATGAGGCGTTTAAATTTTAAAACATTTTAATTTTCTAAGAGAAGAACGATGTTTTTTTTATTTCCTTCTTTCTCTCTCCGTTTCTAAAATTGCTTGATGTAACTCTGTAAAAATAAAAAGTTTAATTACTTCATATAGACTACGTTTCTATATTCATTACTCGTAGTGAAAATCTAAAGTTTACATAACGGTAGCTAGATTTCAAGTGTGAATAGTTAATATCAAAACATAGTTATCCTTGTAATCTCATATGTCACATATAAACAGATATAAGTAATAAATGAAACAATTTAACTTTATATTCCCTGCTTACCTATTAAATAAAGTTTTCTATGAGTCACTGAAGGCATTTCAATCTTCTAAGGAAGGGCTTGAGCAGAATGGCTGACTTATAATTTTAAGACAATGTTTTATGCTTTAATTCTTTGTCTTTCGTAACGCACAATACTGTCTTGTGTTCTCAAGACTCTCAAGTCTTAAACATTGTTGACAGTTTCGTAGAGCCTAAGCAGAATGGCTGTCTTGACAGTGTTTTATGCCCTGAGTTTTATGCCACAATACTGTACAGTATTGTGCGTTACATAAGACAAAGACTTAAGGCATAAAACACTGTCAAGACAGCCATTCTGCTTAGGCCCGAAGTACGAAGCTTTCTATTCTCTTCTTTCTCTCTCTGTTTCCAAAATTATTCGATGTAACTGTATAATAAAAAGTTAAAGTTTAATTGCTTTATATAAACTACAATAATTATCTTTTTTGCAAAGTAACAATACGTTTTCTTTGCACCAATTGATTCATCTTATTATTCTGTACATAAAAGTGTTAAAGTACAGTTACCAAAAAATGAATAGTTTACGAGATATTTTATATTTTATGTCAAAAAGTACCAGAATAAAATATGAAATATTTCGTAAACTATTTTGATAACTCTACCTTAATACCTTTATATGTAGAATAATTAGAAGAATCATATTATAAAAAAAAAAAATTATACAATTCTGTATAAAAAAATAACGATGACCTTTATATAACGATTTTTTGAAAATTAGTTTTACCATTATTTGACTTCCTTGATATCCTACAACTTTTGTCTAAAACGTTTTTCCACATCTTCCATATTTTTTTAGATTTCCCTATTTAAAATAGCACACCCTGTATATACATTGTTACGTTATTGTATTATAATATTATATCATGTGATAAAATTGGTAATTTTATTGATTTTAATAATAGTACGTAATATAATAACATATATATATATATATATGTATATATATATATATATATATCAGCATAGATACGTAATATACATACATATATATAATAATCTTACCACAAACAAAATAATCTATATGTGATCTTTCCATTTCTTGGTGATTATGTAGTATAACACGACACCCTCTCCGATTTCTTCTTCTTTACTTTTTTTTCATTAATCACATGTTGAGAACTTCTTCACATAACCACGATAACCTGATAAATATTTGATCTAGCTGTCAAAAAATTTATCTGATTAATTAAATTATCGTGAATTACTATACAGAAGTAACGCTCGCGTAAACATAATAACGATCACGACTGTCACTATAATACCTATCTCCGATCCACTGATATTTCGCGTGGCACTTCGATCCTTGCGTGACGCGACCGAAATTCAGAATTAAAGATTTTATATTTATAATAATGATGAGAGATCACATTAATAATAATATTAACCTCGCGACACGACGCGGGACGATTAACCTCGAGAGCTGTCACATCACGACACACACACGACGCACTACACGCACGAAGCTCGCACGAAACTCGCCACACTCCGCGATGACAGTCCCTCACGGGATGAAGCAAGCTACGGCGCGGCAATCAATCGAGATAACCAATCAGCATCGCGGTAAAAAGGCAACAATAAATTCGACTATCGACTTAACACGGCAATTTTAAGATAGGATTAATAATATTTTTGATAAAAAGGCCGCTTAGAACCTAGAATGGAAATATTGGTTTAGTTCTAGTTCAGACGATAGCCACATATACTTCTTCTGATTAAGAAAATTTTAGCTTTTTGCGTTTAATTCAGATACCTAGAACAGCTAGAATTATTTACACCGTCTGTTATTTATGGTGACCAGAATATAACAGAAAAGAAGAGCATTTTTGTTACTTAAAAAATAAAAATGAATTTTTAAAATAAGGTGAAGAAAACATGCAAAGTTTAACGTTATTCACTTTCTTCGTTTCCTTATAAAAATTTCCTGAAAAATATACATATATTTTAAAGATCTTTTAAATCAAAATACCTCCGTTAATAATTCTTTACATTCTTTTCCTGACGGAAGAGATTTTACCACTTCTCAATATAAATATAAATTTATCTCTTGTTATGGTTTTATTCGATTATTCCGGCGTTTTTATATTTGTGATTTAATTAGATTATTGTTTACTTTGTTTATATTATTAGGTGATTATGTTTAATGTTTTAGTCTAGACTAATGTTTAACGTTTTAGTATGTAAACTTGAACATTAATTATCATGTTTTTTTATATTTATCTTCTTCTATCGTAGGGTAGACCGGGGACAAAAGTAACATTTTGAGTTTAAGTATAATATCTACGTAAAAAAGACCTGTACCTTTTTAAGTGTAGAATTTATTTGACTACAAAATTTTCTTGTGTTGAATTCAGTAATGTAACTAGAAAAAAAAGTTATTATTGTTTAAAGAATATGAGGAATACTGTTACAACCGTCCCAACCCCCGGGACAATTGTAACAGCAGAGGGGAACGATTGTACCACATCATCTATAAACAAAATAATGGTTATTTAGTAGGTTTATGTAATCAATCTTACGAATTTTCTATAAAAAATGTAACTTTAATGATAAAATAATTTATTACATGACAATATCAGTATTTTTACATTATAGCAAACAAAAACAAATAATACTGTTTTCTCAACTAAAAGATTATTTATTATCATATATATATTTAAAGGGTTAGGTTAAGTTGAAGTTGTCCCCGAGCAACGGGGACAATTGTAACGCTACAATAACTGTCCCCAGGCATTAATGTTACAATTGTCCCCTAATGATATTTTATGATTTGAAGTAAATTTTTTACATAAATATCTGGATGAAAGTCAATCGTATTATGCAAATCATCAACATAAATAATCACTAAAACATATAAAAATAAAACCTTATACCTTCGGCATAAAAAAAGAAAAATATTTCAGATTTTATGCACGTAAGAAAACTTACTTCAGGAAGGAAAAAAGTAACTTTTTCTCCTGCACACGTGCACGTTCCGCGAGGGGCGGCAATGAACTAAGGAACAAATGCCGCTCTATCTAGCGAATCTCGCCTCGCGGTCATACACACGTACCTTTTATAGTTTAAGAAATATTCACGATGTTACAACTGTACCCTGTTACTTTTGTCCCCGGTCTACCCTAGTAATCCGTTCTGAAGAAGACTAAGTACAGTCGAAACGTTAACCATGTGTATTGTTTATTTAAGAAATTGTTTTTATTTTAATCCAATATCTCTTTGTTGTTGCTCGTGGCCGCTTATAAACATTAATAGCTAATATAAATTTAATTAGAGTAAAAAGAACATCATGAACTACTTTTTTTCTCGATATAGTTAATATGTAATTATTGTTATGCATTTAAATATTAAATTTAAATACTATTATGCTAAAGTAAAGATTTTTAATGTAAGACTTTTTTTAATATAAGAGCAAATTTGCCAGAACGGGGATTTCTATACATTACATTTACAAATTTTAGTTTTTATGTTTATAAATATTTTTTTAATTAATTATAATTGCAATATTTATATTTATAAATTTTAAATATATATATATATATATATATATATTTATTTATAAATATAAAAATTAAAATTTGTAAATATAAACGTAAATGTAACGTATAGCCACATATACAAACATGTATATAGTAATTCAACTTTAGAAGGGCATTCTTGTCTAAAAACATGTAAAAGAATATTTTTATTACAATTTCAATAAAACACTAAGAAAATTCTAAAAAGCACGTTGTCATACTTGTCATACTGTACTTACTCCATAAAAATTATAATACTGACAGGAAGTAAGTAAAACTTGGGCAAAATGTCAGATATAATATTTTTAACAATTTCACAGTATTTACAACAACGCTCCTAGCTGTAGCTTTGTTAAACATAACGAGTGGCATATTCCCCCCAGTTACCCAATATATAATACATAACTCTTTATAAATGCAAGTCTAATTAAAAATTTCTAAAACTAATAAGGAAAAATTTTTATATATTTTATTTCTTACTTCAGTAATGAAAACATGACTGAAATACTTTAGATAGTAAAATTTATTTATGCAACACGTGCATGGAAAGTGCCCCATTACGCACGCTACGCGTGCGTGATAGACCACTTTCCAAGCACTTGCAACATAAAGTAGGGAGTGTAAGTCGTGTGTAAAGATGAAAATTCCCGGGTGCGGAGTTTACGCACGAGCCGAAGGCGAGTGCGGTAACCGCACCCGGGAATTTTCATCTTACCTCACTTGTTACACAAATAACTATTGTTAGTCTTTATAGTATAGTGAAACAGTAAAATCCGAATATTTGGAGTCGCGCGAAATATCCTAATCGCCCTGGCACGCGCTCGCCGCTATACCGGCTATACCGGCGATTCATATGCCGAGATCATTATCAGCCTTGCTTCTCGACAGCATCAGTTGATTTAAGCTGCGGTCCGTTTCACGCATGATATATGCGCGCATTAGCTATAGTTTACGTTACACTTAAGTACTCTTACTTCTTACTCCACGCTTACTCCACGTATTGTAGACCACGACTAAAAGTTTTTGCAGACAATAGATCAAAGATAGATCAAAGAATATGTATATATAAACGACACATGCATATGTGCTATGTATATGTAGTATTTACTCACAAGTAATAATTATTATACACTATGTGTGAGTATATGTGTGTTCGTGTATACATAACAATACGCAATGTTATTATTTATAGAAATATATTATATTGCTGTATTATATTTAGATATGGGAAACATGATTATTACATTGCATAAATGCAATGTTCATAAATGTTATTTTTTTACCTCTTTTTTTTCGTTTACTTACTATTTTATTGAGTTCATCATGAATATAAATATTATTGTGAGTCAATGATATACACAAAGTATACGACGTACGGTTTATATATTTGTAATAAAAATTGAAATATATAACAGTACATATTGAAAGTATACATTTTGTGTACTAAGAGAATAATACAAAATTTTGTATTGTGAATATAGAATGGGCTCCTCCAACGCCCATTCCCGTGAAACGCAACTATATATATTTCTTTCGTTTCTCCGACAATATACCCAATCGACACAAAGCATTAGTTACATTCATGCATCTATGTTTGCACATTCAACGATAAAAATGTAATATAACGTGCACACGTTGTTATATTACATTTATATTGTTGAATGCAAAATTATAATATAGATGCGATGTAACTAATGCTCTGTGTCGACTGGGTAAATACTATGATAGTAAAAAAGTAATATACTTCTTATACTATCATTTATTACTTTTATTTGATAATATAATTATGATAACCAGTACCGTCAGATCAGACGCTTCTGATTTTTTTTACAATCAGTACCGTCCGAATAAACGCCTCTGGCAGTTTTATTTGCCAGTACCGTGAGATCAGACGCTTCTGATTTTTTTTACAATTAGTACCGTCCGAATAGACGCCTCTGGCAGTTTTATTTGCCAGTACTTTCAGATCAGATGCTTCTGACTTTTTTTACAATCAGTACCGTCCGAATACACGCCTCAGGCATTTAGTTCGCCAGTACCGTCAGGTCAGACGCTTCTGATATTTTTTACAATCAGTACCGTCCGAATAGACACCTCTGGCAGTTTCATTTTCCAGTAGCGTCAAATGAGACGCTTCTGGTTTGTTTGACAATTAGTACTGCCCGAATAGACGTTTCTCGCATTTATAATCAGTTAGTATGTATGTCAGAAACGTTTTATTCGTTGAGGCATGTTTCATCTCAATAGTATTTTTTTATTATCACAATGTTACAATTTTCTATAATTATTATTTTCAATAAATTACAAATTTTTATCCTTGTGGAAAAGGTAGCAGTTTATTGCCCTTTATAATTTTCATAAAGTGTTGTCTCATGCACTTTACGTTCTTGGAATATTTTTCATTACAAGGATCGTCTCCTAAGGCTACAGTTGTGGCGAAAGCTGCGGTGTAAATTCCACAACATGTTCCATCAGGTTGTGCTTGAACTTTTTCAAAAATAATATCATTTTGGCTTATCTTTGAATATCAAAGTTGTATATAATTTTTTTCTTTGGCTACTAATTTATTGTACGTACTGCCAGGTAAACTGTCATATACGTGAAGTTTTGTGCCATCAAAAAATATACATCGCCAATGATCGCTACAGTTCCCTCCAATTATCTGCAAGGCTTTTATCGCTGCGACTTGCTTCTAGTATATGAGGAAACTCTAAATATTGAACACTTTGCGTTTTAAAATGAGTTGTTTCTCTTACAACGCGCAAGAATCGATC